GCCTAATATGGCCTGTACCTAACGGCTTCTGCGGGCTAGGAGACGCCCTGCTGCCCATTTTAGCACAGCCACTGCGCTAGACTCATCCTTCCTTCTACTGAGAGTGTCGCAAATTTTGCCTTTGCCCAAGTCCTCGAAAACCAAATAAAATTTTTACTCTTCTAGTCCGCCTGTATTATTATCCTAAGTCTGTACTTTATCTGATTACTACTATGTTGGATAGGAACAGTCTCATTGCGAAAGATTTTAGCATTGCGCGCAGCCCAGATTGTTTTCATAACAATACCTCTGCAAGAGAGGACTAAATAATTTATCCCTGAAGATATGCTCTCGTTTGTGCACAGTTTCCCAAACAGTCTAAAGTCATCTTCCCAACTAAACTCCACTGAAGTTTTCTTCCAAAATTCCTTCCACCATTCCCATATTTCATCAGATAAAGGGCAGAGCGGCCACAAATGAGTAGCTGATTCACACCCCCAGTTACACCGCATACATGTAGAATTCAGGCTCATCCCTCTCGTATTCAACCACATTGCGGTAAGAGTAATTTGAAGAGTCTGAAGCCATTGAAGGGCCACCTGTTTTTGAGAAGGTAAGTTCTTCAAAGCTTTCCAGAGTCTAAATAAATTTGACTCTCCTACTGACGTAATCTGCAGATCTTCCAATCTTTTCATAGCTGTTACCACTGGTTTTTTTACCACTTTCTCCTTTTGTAACTGGACTCCCAATTTGGTTTTGTAGAAAATCAGAGGGGTCATGGGACTTGGAGTACTTGCAGGCCAACCAAATAAGAGTGGTTCTACCACCAATCTGTCGTGGGCCCCCCGGATCAATCTACAGGTGGGTCTCCGCCCCTTTTCCTCCTCAAAAACTCTTACCTCTATCAGACCCAGGGTGGAAGGAACCATTCCCTCCTCTTCCATTAATAAGATGTTAGGATCTTTACCCGCCTTCCTCTTCCATTTCTGAATCTTTGTCCCTGAGCGGAGATCAGGGCCTTCAATTCTCCAAAACTTATCCACAGGTCTCGGGTCCTGAACCCACACTCCTGCACTTAACTCATTGTCCCTCTTCAAGGCTTTAGTCCAATGCGGGGGAAGCGCCTGCTTAATCCTTTCATAGTTGGAATCCACATTACGCAGACCCAGTAATTTCCTTTTCACCAAGCCCAAGGGTAGCCAATCTCCCTCCTTCTCATCCCACAGGTCCCGGACCTGGAGCACTCTGTGTTCTACCCATGCTCTACCAAAGGAGCCTACTTTACCATCTGCCATAAACAATTCTTGATCCTGTTGTCTAATATATTGATTTTCAAATAAAATTTGATTGAGGATCTCCTCCTTCGATTTAGGCTGTTGGATGTAGTGGGGGCGTATCTTATTCCAGGCATACAAAATGTTGTGCCAGACTCTAGAGCCCGGTCTCCTGTTGCAGAATGAACCTATCATAAGGCAGAGCCAAATGTGATCCCCCCTGGTTAGTGACCATTCCTGAGTTAGGATGTATTCTGCCATGAGCCGCCAGCATTTCTCTGATTCCCCAAACATAGCTTCGATAGGCCACTTTACCAGTAGTGCAATGTTTTGTTGCTTTGGGTCTAAGATACCCAGGCCCCCTTCCTCCCTTGGTTTGGCTATCAAATCCCTGGCAGCCTTCACTATATAAGACTGGTTTTCTTCAGCTTGTGGTTTCCAGAGGTATCTTGTCGCTACTTGTTTAATCGATATATACGCCTCCTCTCCCAACAAGGAAACCGACATAGGAAACCACAGTATTGAAAATGCGGCAGATGAGAGGACAAGAGCTCTCCCAAAAAGGGAAAGTTTATGGTTTCGTAACCAACTGTTAATTATAGATGTTACCTTCTCCACCACTATAGCATCTTGAGTAGAAGAGCAGTCCGATAATGAAACCTGAACCCCCAGGAACCGATTTGAAGTATTTACCGGAATCTGACGCAGACCCCAGTTCACCGCAATTGAGTATTGCTGGGGGAGGAAATAAACTGACTTGTCCCAGTTAATGGATGCTTCAGACAGATCGCAAAACTCATCCAACGTCCTTTTCAATTCCTCCAGGCTTCCCTTGTGATTTTTGCATGCGATAGTTAGGTCGTCTGCTAACGCTTCGCCCTTCCAGTGGATGTAGGGGGGGAGGTGCAGACCTATTATTTTGTCATTGATTTTAATGTTAAGTAGGAGTATCTCTAGTTGAGTGACAAAAAGCAGTGGGGCCAGGGGGCACCCCTGTCTCAATGATCTAGTCAGCGGAAACCTTGAGATATCTGGTTATTAACCATTACCACAGAGGAGGCATCTATGTGCGTTGCTTTGACCCAAGTGCAAAAGTTATTACCAAAGCCCAATTTAGATAAGGAGCTAAACACAAAAGCCCAACCTACCTTGTCATAAGCTTTTTCCATATCCAATAACAGGACTGCGACCTCTTTCCTTTCTTTCCCAATAACTTTCAGCGCTTGGATCGTAGACATAATGTTGTCGAAAATCAGTCTCCCTTTCACAAAGGTTCCTTGTTCCTTTCCTACTAGGGCGGGGAGATAGTCTGCAAGTCTTATCGCGAGGGCCTTGGCCAGAATTTTATATGCAACATTCAAAACAGATATAGGCCTATAATTTCTTACCTCCCGCTTGTCTCCCTTCTTATAAAGGAGGGAGATCGCCCCTGTCAACCATCTTTTCGGTAAGTGTCCCGAAGGTAAGGCATTATTAAAGATTCCGGTTAGAAACGGGGCAAAGGCCTCCCAGGCACTTAAAAACAACTCCACAAGAGACCGTTCCATGTCTGGGCACTTCCCCTTGGCCATCCGTTTAACTACCACATGTAGCTCTTGTCTGGAGAAGGGGGCATCTAAGAAACCCCTACCCTCTAGCAGGATCCTCGATCTCCCTCCATCCCAAAACTGTGAGTGCTGAGAAAGATCAGAGTCTGTGGTATCGTACGGCCTCCTTGTGGCCACTATATCCTGAAAGTAGGCTTTGGTATAGGAGCACATGACTCCCGCAGTGTTTGCTACAGGTTCATCAATGGCAAAGGGGTGTACTAATTCTCGTAGCACCGGCTTGGCCTGTCTGAGAATCAACGACCTGAAAGTTAACTTAGTCATTCTGTCGTAACCCACCACCCTCTTGATTTTTAGCCAATCCAGTCATTCTTGGTGTCTATCCACCTCCATTTATTTCAATTTTACTAAGTTTGTTTTCCGCTGTTCCGACCAATTAATACTCAGTGAACGGGTCCCCCCCCATTTTGGCTTTCGCCTCCCTTACCGCTTCCTGGATCTGTTTTTCTTCCCAGTTCCGGTTAGCAGCCCTCATTCTGGAGAACATTTCTAAAGTTGTTGAAACAATCCCCAATCTCACTTCTGCCCAACTCCCTTCTTGATCAAACAGATCCTTTGCGTCCATCCATGCCACCATTTGCTTCCCCACCCATTCTGAAATGCCCTTCTCTTTCAAATGGTTGACGTTCAACCTAAAAGGGGGTCTAATGTGCTCTAGCTGATTAGCAGCAATTATATCCATTCCTAGTGGGGAGTGGTCAGACATTGATTTAACCATGGTATCACACCACATACATCTATCCCATACTGACCCCCTAGCCAGGAAGAAATCCAACCTTCTCTTAGGGGAGGGAGCGGTGTTTGAAGGTCGTGGACCGATCCAAGTATATTCATTTAAGTCCGGGTTCAAAACCGTGTATACGTTGGACAGACCCTGTGTATCCATAAGGGCCGACAGAAGCATCGTATCCTCTCTTATCGAAGACGGATTAGGTGAATCCAAGCTTGGATTCAGAATTGTATTCCAATCACCGACCAAGATGATGTTTTCTACGTCCGGGATCCATGATGGTAGAGAAGCAAAAAACTTAGACCTTTCTTTATACTCCACTGGGGCATGTACTGACATTATGGCCCAGTCCTCCTCCTCCACTGCTATCTTTATCCACAACACTCTTCCTTTAGGGTCCATAAAGTAATTTATAATTTCAATATCAAGGTCCTTATTAATTAATATAGCCACGTATCCCCGAGTACCTTCTGCGGGGGCCCAAAATTGGGGCCCCTTCCACCAACGCTTAGCATCTTCAATCTTTTCCCTGTTCAACTTCATCTCTTGTATACATGCAATATGCACGTCCTTTGAGTGGAACCACGCCGCTAATCTTTCTTTCTTAGAACTCTCGCCCAAGCCTCTGACATTCCAACTTACTACTCTAATCCTGTTGGGCAAGACCATCTAGTTGGTCATTGCCGCCAGAAGGTTGGATGCGGGAAACAGAGTCGTCGTTCCTCTCTTCGAGGACATCGCAGGGCTCTAAAGCCCACTGCTGCCGCATCGGGCCACCCGTGATAGGATAGGACCGTATATCTGTCCGGATCAACCAGTCTGCTATATAGTATGCATTTAGCTTGGAGCCCAATCTCATCCCTTTTAACGCTTCTGAACCTGGCTCAAGAAGGGGGGTCATTGGGAGCCAGTGAGTATTTAGCTGTAGCCACTGCTCCTTGGTACCCTCCAGAGCAATGAGGCTCAGGAAGGCTATGTGTAGGATGATTTTATCACCTGCCTGGTCCTCTACCACATGCCTCCCAATCCTGGGTTCTTGCATCAACATCACAGTACCCATATCCTCCAAGACCACAGTCTGAGCTGTTTTCACCATTTGGTCCTCGTTGGGTTGACTGTGGACTGCTGCAGCCGGTAACTCCAGTACCTAGTCTTGAGCCCTTGTAGTCAACACACACAACCCCACCTGGGTGGTAGTGTAGATAAGCGGAATAAAGAATTCCTTCACCGCCTTCTTGGCTCTGTCCTTCCGTGCTAACGATTTTATTGGGGTTGAGAACGACAGATCAACCTTCTTTGTACTGCCTCCCACCGGCCTTTTTCTCTTGTCTGGATGTTTGGTCTCCATTTTCCCCCTATTTTGCTTTGGCTCTACTTGAAACTGTTCCCTGTAGGAGGAAGAGCCGTCTTTCAGTCTCATTTTCTTTGTTGGGACCGTATTTGCGGGACCGAAGCCAACATTCTCTTCTGCTGAAATTTCATGCATCTTGAGCCCTACTTTTTTATTTCTTTTGAAAGCTTATGTGTTGGCTTCCTCCAATGCATTGAATACCAGGTTGAGGGTCATCCCTCTGTTGGATTTCTCCATAGTCAACGGCCCTTTCCCAAGCCCTGAAGGGGGGACTGACTTAATCTGTAAGTCTGCGAAGGGGTTCTCAATCAACAGCATCGCCCCCTGATCGGGATTTCCGCCATTCAGGTCAGGTGTTATAACCTGGCTGTCTGGAATCAATCTTTCCCCTTTCTCCATGAGATCCTTCCCCTGTGATTGGTGATCCTCATTCCGGAGGTGAGCCCCCTCCTCCTTATCCAAATCCTTAGCTGCACCTTTCCCTATCTCCTCCCGGCTCCCTTCTTCCTCTCTTTCCGTCATTTGAACATTTTCGTTCTCCTCCTGCTTACCCTCTTCCTCGACCTTCTCCTTAGACAAAAGCCCTATACCAAGCCCGGCGGGGGAAACAGACTTAGTCTCTAGTTCTGCGGAGGGGTTCTCAGTCAGCGGCATCCCCCCCTGACCACCGTCCAGACCAGGTGTTAACACCTGGCTGTCAGGTACCACACTTTCCCCCCTCTCCAAGGGATCATTCCCCTGAGATCTGTGGTCTCCGATCCGAAGATGAGACCCCTCCTCCAAATCCTTATCTTCACCTTTCCCCAACCCCTCCCGGCTCCCTCCATCTTCTCTTACCGTCATTCGAACATCTTCATTCTCCTCTTTCTTGCCCCCTTCTTCAACTTTTTCCAATTTCGCCCTGCTAACCCCTGCCGTCTCGACACCCTTATCCAGCCCCGAGGTTTCTTTAGTGGACTTCTCGGGAGGCTGAGTAAGCACTTTCTTCTTCCTCCAATTCAGTTTGTAGCGTCTCGACTCCGAGCCCGCCTTCGGTAGAGACGGTGTCTTTTTCTTTTTGCCCCTTCCCATCGGAGGGTTAGGGTGAGGGTGATTTTTCCCTCCTTCCTTCTCACCCACCCCTTTATCTTTCCCTTTTACCGCCTTCCCCATTTCCCGATCGTCTGTGACTTTCTCCTGTCCATCAGTCCTTTCCTTCTCTTCCAATCCCTTCCCCTTTCCCTCTTTGTCCTCCGTCTCTTTCTCACCCTCTTCTTTCTCGCTCTCTTTCTCAATCACTTTCTCACCCCCTTCTTTCTCTTTCGGTTTCTCTTTAACTTCCTTCTCCTTTGTGACTTTTGTGAGTGCCTCTTTGTAATTTGCATTACGCGGGCAGGAGGGGTCTGAGTCAGAGTGGAAAAAACGTCTGCACTTACAGCACCAGGGCGAATCCGTGCAGGCGACTTCCAACTCAACAAAACCATAGTCTCCCATATCAACTACCAGATGCCTTTTGTACTTCAGTCGCGCCGCGAGAGCCATGTCGAAGCAAATTGTCCACAGGTCCGGTGCAACCGGGTCTGCAAACGCCACCGAGGAGCTCAACACTGAGCCAAACGCTTTCTTGGCCGCACCCTTGAGATGGGGTAAGACCGAAATAGGAACATGCAGGACTCTGATCCAATAATACTTGTAGCTCATCGCCTTGTTCCACTCATACAATTGATTCTCATTCATCCATGGCTGGAAGGATATCATATATTTTTTCTTATCAAATTCGATACTATCCTGACCCTTCCTCTTCATCCACGTGGCTATACTAACAGAACTGGCCACATAGGTCACTAGATTACGACCTTCATGACGAAAAATGCCCCTCTTGGGGGGTACGTTTAACTCTCCAGACCTCGCCCATCCTTCCTCATAAATTCGAACCAAACGATTTTTAACCTTGATAGGCACAGAGGTCGTGTCGTCACCGAGTGAATTGTGACCGCATGTTGACGAAGCCAGTCAGCTTGAATTTGAAATACATCCTTATTAACAACCACTCGTACAAAATCCGAGCCCGTCTCAACTACCTGTGGGGCAAAATCGTCCGGGAGGATTCCTTTGGAATAACATTCCTCCAAAGTCTCCTTTATCCTACGTTTGTCCCCCGACGATAGTGACAACGGGACAGGATCGAGGGACGCCATCAAACCTAACAAACTAAAAACACACAACAATAAATTCCTGCTAAAGCGTAGCATGGGCAGAGGGATCGTTAAAAAAACGAACTCTCAATAGTACATGACACAGGAAGACGAAAGGCCTAGAGTATTGGAAACGAGATTACCACCCTTCGAACATCGCAGTCACACTAGCCTTGTCATAGTGCCACTTCGCCCGCTCCTGGTTTTCGATAGCCTGCGAGCCGAGCCTCATAGGGCAACGCCCCCACTCGTCCTCAATCTGCTGCAATACTTCGCCTGGGGCGGGCGCTCGTTGGTTTTCTCCTCATGGTGGTAGTTTGTCTGAGGAGTGCCTCCACGTCTTCACCCCCTACTATTGACAGAGTCAAATCCTTCCTTCCCTCTGGATCCAGTCCAGAACCCACTCATCGTTCAGGGAACCCTTGAGATTGACGAGAACGAAGCATCTCCCCTTCACCCCTGACACGAGGCTACCCGGTCCGTGCCTTAACGCACGGACCGATAACTTCCTGCGTCCCTACCACCGCCGCTACTCCCGCTAGCGCATCGCTTCCCCCGGCCTCCATGACACTTTTTTTGGTTTAGCGCATCGCTCCCCGATAATGCTGTCAGCGGATTGTCTGACGGACTTGAAGATAAGATACCCGAAGGAACGCAAGCTGGACTCACCATACCTCCATACAATTCTGACTCAGGCGTGGCCACATGAAGACCATTCAACCTCCCATATCCAAGCACAACAGGGAAACACAACTACCAATGGTTAGAATTTGTATTGCCACCTGGAATCTGTAGGGCTTCAGAGATACCAACGGGCGACAAAAAAGATACAGAGTTAAATCTTGGATGCATGAAAATCGAATTTCGATTGCGTGCATACAAAAAAACAAGTTGGACTGTACGAAGATTATGCTGTTGGGAACATGGTGGGATGGGCTAYAATTGTGGGCCCCTGCAAGAGGAACGAGGGGTGAAGTAGGAACTCTACTCCATAGGGACACAGAAGCATAAATCATAGAGCACTATGCAGACCTCTASGGGAGGTGGGCTTGGATGCTACTATGGATAGGGGGGGTATCACTGGCAGTGGTTACAGTTTATACTCCGGTGGATACACAATAGAAACTCAGATTTTTCGAAGAACTGCAGGTAGTTCTTCCAGATGCAGACTTGGTAGTGGCCGAAGACTCAAACACATCGTTGGACGTCATTCTAGGAAGCAGCGGTGGTAGTTCAAAGGACACAGTGGTGTTGCTGGACTTGATGATGCATTGGGACCTGCGGGATATGTACAAAGAATTGCACCCAACTGATGAAGGGTACACCTGTTTTTCTGCAAAAGGTAAAGGTAGAAAACTTGACTACTTCCTCACAGCAGGGTTGGCTCAAAAGGCAGTGGTGGAGATTTGACAGTCAAATCATCCAATCTCGGACCATAAAACAGTGATTGCGATCTTCCAATTGGGTCCGGAATCACAGCGGGGAAGAGGTTTCTTTTGGTTCAATGTGCAGAACCTCAGAAATGAGGAAATGAACGAGTGGACACAACAGTTTTGGACAAGATGGGGAGAACAGAAAAATAGTTTCCCTACAACTGCGGAATGGTGGGAGGGAGGATCTCGCATCCTCTCCAATCTACTTAATGTGTGTTCAAGGATCCTTGCGCTACAGAGAAATAAAGCGGGATGAAAGTGTTGGAGGAAGGTGGAAGAAGCAGAGAGGAAGATGAAGGAGCAACCCGTAGCAAGACTCACTTAGGGGAAGGAGAGAACACACGGGCTAGCGGACTGGGACAGACTGCAACAAGAGAAAACAAAACAATGGTCTGAATGGTTAAAAGTCATGGGAATTGAAGTATATGACCGCATGTGCAAGGAAACATTTCAAAAGTTGGTACCCTCAAAGACAGCCCATGCCATGAAGGAACTCAAGCACCCCTTCGAGTCGGAAGAACCGGTTGCATTGAAGCCGAAACAGATGTGCGCATACGCCACCTGCTATTTCAAGGATATCCTCACCTCGTGCAGACCAGACGAAGCAGCGGGCACTAACTTGGCTAGCTCCGCGGACCACTAGGAGAACACAACTTGCCGGCTACCGGTAAATGCAAGGTTGGACCTWGACCGACCTGTCACGGAAGAAGAAGCAGCATAGGCCCTGCAGGCTATGGCGAACGGAAAAACACAAGGATACAAAGACCTCCCAGTATAATTTTACYGGAAGCACSGAAAGACAGTTGACAAAGTCCTAGTAGAAGTCTACAATGAAGTCTTMACAACGGGAAAACTCTCGAGCAGCTCTTGCAAAGGCATCATATCAATGTTGTTCAAAAAGTGGGATATGAACGAAATAAGGAACTGACGTCCGATATCACTGTTAAACGTGTCATACAAGGTTCTTGCCAATTGTTGGCCAAAAGATTGRGAAAATACTTACCTCTACTAGTGCAAGAYGACCAAGCAGCGTTCGTGAGAGGCAGGTCTATATTCGMGAACATTGTCACAGCTATCGAGGCGTTGGAAATAGTTGGCARGGAGGAGCGGGACCTTGTTGTCCTGATGTTGGATATGGAGAAGGCAGATGACCGGGTTAACTGATCATATGTCTTAACAACGTTAAGATGGATGAGCTTTGGTGATGTGTTCTGCACTTGGCTGATAGCTTTGTACTCATTCTCCACCGCCTTAGTGCTGGTTAACGGGCACCTGTCGGCCACATTCTCCTTGACAAGGTCGCTGAGACAGGGTTGCCCACTGACACCCCTTCTCTTTGTCGTTCACCTTCAAGTCCCCCTAAACAATATAAGGGCACATGCTGAAATTCATGGATTGCAACTAGACGAGGTGTCATGTAAGGTGAAGGCACTTGCGGACGACCTTTTCGCGATATCACAGAACTCAAAAAACTCCATGGGGGCCCTACGTTAGGGTCTCAAGCAATATGAGTGGTTATCTGAGGCAGCAATCAATTGGTCGAAGTCTGTGTATTTTCTCCCAAGTAAGCTTGAACCAGCAATGGACTGGGGGATGAAAAGGGTAAAGAAGGCAGATTCAGAACGGTTTTTGGGTGTGCAAATTTCGTTGCTCCCGAGTGGAGCCCAGCAAGACCACAAAAAGTGATGCAGCGGACTGCAATTTGGGGAAAAGCCCCACACCTCTCTCTATTCGGCCGGACCTTGGTCGTTAACGCAACTTTGTTTGCCTTAATCTGGTACGTGGGATACACACGGGTGGTAGGAAAGAGCACTCAGACCGTGATTCGAAGGAGAACGACAAGATTTATTTGGCGGCCATTTGCAGCAGACAGGGAGGGAGCCATATCCAAGGTAACTTGGGACTTGATATGCAATCCGAAAGAGGAGGGAGGTCTCGACCTAGTGGATTCAGGAAGAAAGTTGAAGGCAATGCTGACCAGATGGGTAATCAAAGCAATGTGTACTCAGGGGAATAAACAGTGGATTAGGTTGGGAGAAATAATCCTAAGTAAAGAATGGAGGCTGTCAAGACCCACAGATGTYTGGGCCTGTGTGTGGATCGACTCCTTTGTGAAAAGKAAAGKAAAGTCTGAATTCTGGTCGGCAATTTGGATGAAGGTGAAGCTAGACATGGTGGCACAACCAACCACAAAAAAAGAGGTTTTGTCCTAAGTTATTTTTGAGAACCAGCTGATCGGGAAGGAAGATGGTGCCATGTTGTTGGCAAACTCAGCTAAAGGTTACTACGGAAGGAAGTGGGAAAAAAAGAGTAGTAAGGGTGAGGGACCTGTGGAACAAACTGGAAGTAAGATGGCTCTAAGGAAATGAGCTGAAACAGAAACTCAAGAACTGCATAGAAGTGGAGGAGAGACGCAGGGTGATCTTGAACGCGCTGCCTCTGGACTGGCGTGCTCTGCTAAGTCCTGAGGGAACTAACCCGCTTAGTTCGTGCTACTCAATGTAGAAGGAGACAGGTGAGATCCCTTGCCTGAAACTGGCTGAGTTTCCGATTGAAGGAGGAAGAGTATTCCAACAGTGGAAGACAGCACCAGGTTCACACTGCAAACTAGTGTTGGAAGAAGAAGACAGAGAAAAGGTTACTGTTCCCAAGGGCCCGATGGAGGAAGTTCGGGTAGCGGAGAAAGTGAATGACCACGGTAGTTGGACGGTGGAGCTATGGGGAGAGGGCAGGCCGTTAGCCCAACTGAATGCAGACCCAGAGCAATGGGTCTGGAGAGGGAGAGGAAAAAACAGCGAAAATGTAACACTAAGGGAGTACTCAATGAAGTTGGGATATGAACTGCAGAAAAAGGAACGAACACCACTAATGGTGGCCACTGAAAGATGGAAGAAATTTAGCCTGTTGGAGGAAGAAAATATGATTTGGGCATTGAAAAGATGTTGGGCACAGCTGGCAAAYGCTCCTAATCAGCGAACCKCAGCAATCTTGTGSTTGATGTCTACCCCCTCAGCAGTCTGGCTAATGTCAAGAGGACTGGAAGTTGATCTACAGTKCAYGAGATGCYCGTGGTCGTTYGAATCAACAATCCGCATTTCGTGGGATTGTCCTGCAAYAGCAAGAATATGGCATTGGTGGAAGGATCATTGGAAGACGATATCAGAGGAAGCAATGGAATGGGACAAAGACTGGGTTCTGTTTGGAGGAGTGCCACAGGGGATGGGGATATGTAGCCCAGGCTTTCAGGGCGATTGGATTCTGGATAGTATTGACGGAACGGAACCGAACCCTTTTCAAAGGGAAGATCATGCCAGACCCGGAAATCAAGGCAACATTCAATGCAATGACGCGCAGGACAATCTTGGCAGACTGGAAAAGGAAAGTGCCAAGAGGGTAAGGTTGGAGAACGGGGCTGAGTTGGTTCAGAAACACTTGGGCAATAAATGGGAGACTGGTAACGGTAGAGGGGGAGAAAGTTAGATTTGCAGATTGGTTGATTACTTAGTGGAATAAGGGCACCAACCAGGGCACTCTGTTATATTCCGCAGGTAGGAAGGCAGAGGGAATGAAAAGGGGAAAGAGAGTGTCCAGTTTTAGTCGGCCTGAGAGTAGCTAGGCGGAGTGGACAGGGTTACAGATACATAGGATAGTAGAATTGTTTCTGCATAGGATAGTAGAATTGTTTTCATGGGTACATGATAGGTAGTAAGCAGTTCCTCTGTGGCCTCTGGGCCTCTTGTGTTGTTGGGGCTGGTTTCCCCACTTTGTGGTTCTGGGTTAGACCCAGGCAGACTGTGACGTTCCGGGTTGTTTTGTGAGAAATTCCCGGCCTCAATTTTGAATTTTAATGGAATTGCTCGCTTTTTCCCAAAAACCGAATAACATAAAATGGATTCCTTGCCTTTTCCCAAAAAAAAAAAAATCTCTTTTTTGGCCCTCGTTTTGAATTTTTAATTTGCAATAACTGTGTCACACCGTTGAGCTAGCTCAACTCAACGGTGTAAGTCACTGTGGCGGGGCCAAGGCGCCGTGAGCGCTGGGGCTCTGTAGAGAAAAGACGGGGCGTGGAAATCAAGCTCTTTGCTGCCGGCCAAAAGAGCGCGGAGGTAGAAAGAGTGACAGGGAGGGAAAGAGTGACAGGGAGGTAGAAATACCGGCGCCACTGCTGTACTCGGCTGTACGTTGTGTGCGGGGACACAACATCGCGACCAGCGTTTCCTGTCTCCTATTCGTGGCGAGACTTGAGAGCGAGACGCACAGAGAGACGCTCGGCAGATCCGAGGAGAGGCTGCGTTGCACGTGTGATCGTTAGCGACGTGGTGAGCCCACAGCTACCCATCGGCGGCAATGGCGGCGTCCTCCTTGCCGTCCCGCTTAGCTCTTTGTGAAAATGCCTTGTCAGCAGGTTTGCGAGCGGAGCTTACCGCCGCCCGCCATTATAGCGATACAGATGCCTCTTCCGTGCTTCCCGCCGGCGGCTCCGCGCAGTCATGCGAGCTAGGCGCAGCGGCATTCCCGTCGTCCTTCTTGGGAACGACGACGACGCCATCGTGTGGCCGTCGCTGTAGAGTTCGCTTCGAGCGCCGTGATCCTTCTCCCGCCACACTCGCCATCGCCTCGTCTGCTGCGAGCGCGGGCGCCGCCGCCGGCAAGCGCTCATCGGATGCTCGTGCTCCATTGGGAATAGGAGTATTCGTGGCTCTCCCGTGTCAATCTGGTGAGGACGACCCCGCGTTGTTGTCACCTCCCGCAGCTGCGCTTCCTGGCGAGAACTGCTGCCGCCGTCCTCGCCGCCGCTTTCGTGGCCGCCATCTCGGAGCGCAGCGGCCGGTCATGGCGTCCGTTCTCGAAGCGGTTCCCTCTCCTTTGTCGGAAGAAGATACCACGGCATCTCCACCGCCTAATTGTTTCACAGCCGGCGATGATGGGTATCTCTATTGCGATGGGATTCGAGTGGAAGATATCATGGAAAAGCACGTCTTAGAGAGACGGCCATTCTATCTGTACAGCAGAAACCAAATCACGAAGAATTATTTGGCCTATGCACGAGCGCTTGACGGGTTGCAATCGACCATCGGATACGCTGTTAAGGCCAATAACAACTTGAAGATTCTTCAACACCTTCAGTCTCTGGGAAGCGGGGCGGTTCTCGTTAGCGGGAACGAATTGCAGCTGGCGTTGAAGGCAGGGTTCGACCCCTCCAGGTATGAATGCGTGATACTAGAATTGATTGGATTGATTGATACTAGAAAGTAATTGGATTGTTTGAGTTGAGTGCTTGGTCCGGTCATTGGTTTTAAGTGATCTCCGAGATGGGATGGGGTAACTTCAGAAAAAGATTTGCTTTTCCTCGTAATGAAATTTGAATTTATCCTTCGACCTACCGTCTTCCCGCTTGAATAGAACGCACGGTCATCATAGCTGTATGTGGAGCAGCAGCCGGTTTGGGTCTAATAGATATAGCGAGCGATAACCAGTACATTCTATTCGGGGGAAAGCGGTAGCTTTCGAGTTCCTTTTCCAGTGGTGATCTTTCACCCGAATGGGATCGATTGATATACAGCGCTTGCAGTTACTAATTTACTACTTGAGTAATATTAGTAGAAGTGGTTGAAGTTGAATGGCCGAATGATGGAATGATAGTTTTTCTTGTCGATTGATTGGTTAGTTCGGTTCCTGACTGACGATGATGGGTCGGTGCAACTGTCAACGGCTGAGTTCAAAGAACGGCGTTAGGGAACAAGTGATGGTGCGATCGGTGTGAAGAAGAAAAATGTGGCACGATCTGTGTCAAGAAGAAAAATGCAGTTTATCGACAGAATGTCCTGGGCCTGCTGAGCGAGAGCGGATCGGGTGTGATTACGCTGTGTGTGCGGTGATCAGTTGCGAAGGAGGGCGACGTCGACGATGGCGGCGATGACGACAAGCGGAATGAGGTGTTGTTCAAGAGATAATAGGAGAAAGGAGGGAGGGAGGAGAAATCGGAGTAGAGAAAAAAGGACGGAAAAAAATGAGAAAGAGGTAGAGGAAGTGGTGGAGGGATGGGGGGGCCGGGTGCTGTCTCTGTGAGCGCATGCCTATCTCTGCGCTATGTCCTCAGTCATAGAGCGATGTGCAACAAATCTACTTGGCATTGACACTGTTGCTGCGGGTGCTCCTCTCCGTTCCCTTCTTCAATTCCGCACTCTTCATAGCCGATCCGTGCGTGCGTTGTTTTTTTTTGAGTTCGTTGTTTTTTTCTCAGTGGGAATGTGATTTCGGTCTGGGGGTATAGCCTTGCAACCGTCTCTTCGCGAATAGCGTGGATAGGCGTCAAACGCCTGAATGCAGTGTAGGTTTCCGGTGAGGTACTGAGCTGTTATTCGGGAGACGAAGCGATTTTGCAAGCTCTATATACCATGTGCAAAGTCTTGTGGTTTAACAGTAAGAATCGTCATCACAAGCACTCCTTTTTATTAGTCATTATTACAGCAGTGATTTCCCCTCACTTTCAAGCGGTCATTTCCCCCTCACTTTACGGCAATGATTTCCCCCTCTCCCCTCTCCCCTCCTTGTGTGGGGATCTTACGTATGTTTATCGTCTGCAGCCGACGTTTCTCTGAGCCACCCACTCGCTGATCTGAACCGACAAGTTTGGCGTGGAAGGGCTTGATGATGGCACGAAGACGGTCAGTGATGTGAACCCGATGAGACGTGGATGCTGAAGTCATTCTGACCAATGGTCATGAACATGATGTGGGCCGTTGATTGATCGATTGATTGATATATTGAGTTAATGAGTGATTGATTGATTGATCCATTGATTTAATGATTGATCCATTGATTGATCCATTGATTGATCCAATGATTAAATGGTCAATTGGATCATTACCTTATCGATAGATCCAATTGTTAAATGATCGATTGACCGATTGATTTATTTTTCGATCGAATGATTGATTGAATAATTGACGGATCGATCCATTGAATTGTTAATGACTGGTCGATTGATTAAATGATAGAGTGATCGAATGCTGGATTGAACCAGTGATTGATTAAGTTATTGATTCAATGATTTGCCAGCTGATTGCTGTTGTTCTGCCTGATCTCGTTCTTGACCTATCTTGGTCTCGCACGCATGCCACGCCGAATTTCGGATTATCCAGACGCTTATGCCAGATGGAATGCACTGAGTAGTTTTGGCTCTTATCTTTCTATTAGGTACAAATGCCTCCATACAGCAGACCACCAACTATTGATGCGCTTTTTGCATAGGAAGATTCAAGATGATAGATCCTTGACTCTAGTGTGAAGGCACCTGTAGAAGATAAAGCGGCTCTCATACGGTTGGTAGCTTTATCGGAAGAAGACCACATTGGTAATTCTGCCATTAATCCACTTCATTCCGTGGTTCAGCGCTCGCGAGTGGTTGAGACACAGAAGAAAAAGGCACCTGTATAAGATAAAGTGGCCTCTTATACTGTCGGTCGCTCTATCCCAAGACGACTACATTTTACGGTTGGGCCCTCTATCAAAAGACAACGACATATAAGGTTGGTCGAACACTTTATTCCGTGGTGTGCTCGCGGGAGTGAGTAAGAGGCGGAAGCGGAAGAAAAAGCTCTTGCAAGCGCGGCTCACCAGCAGAGCCGAGTGGGCCTAAGTCGATTTGAACTAGCTTTCCTCCGAACCGTGCGTGCAAGATGACCCACTTCATTCTCTGGTGGCCAGCGGTGAGTGAGTGAGAGGGCGAAGGAAAAGAAAACGCTCGCTCGCCAGCGGAGCAGAGTGGGCCTAAGTATATTTAAATGGTGATTCGTGGCGTGTGAGTGAGAGGGCGAAGGAAAAGGAAACAGTTGCTCGCAACGGGAAAGGTTCGGAGAAGTCGGCGGGTCGTGGGGGGATGTAAAGGCGAAGCACGTGGCTGTGCAACGTGGCATCAGTGTTTTTTTTTTGTCTTTTCCGCTTTTGTTCACAAAAAAGGCACCGGCGGAATGGGCACACAGAGAGAGAGAGAGAGAGAGAGAGAGAGGTACACATGCACCATGTGGCTCAATATCTTTGTTGTTTTTTCCTTTTTTTCTCCCTTTTTCTTTGTGTGTGTGTGTTTGTGTGTGTGTGTGTGAGAGAGAGAGAGAGAGAGAGAGAGAGAGAGAGAGAGAGAGAGAGAGAGAGGAAAGGGGAAAGGGGAGCGAAGGCGGAATGGGGAAATGGGAAAGGGGGGAGTGTTCAGGGAAGTCGGCGTAACGCGGGTGGATCTAAAGGCGAAGCACGTGACTGTGCAACGTGGCGTGAGTGTTTTTTTTTTATCGGCTTTTGTTCACAAAAAACGGCACCGGTGGCATGCCTCACACAGAGAGAGAGAGAGAGAGAGAGAGAGAGAGAGAGAGAGAGAGAGAGAGAGAGAGATGACGAAGGGGGGGAGGGTTAGGGTAAGTTTGTGGATGGGAGAGGAGGGTACACATGCACCATGTGGCTCAATATCTTCGTTTCTTTTTTTCTCTTTTTCTCCCTTCTGCTTTTTTTTTTTTTTTTTTTTTTTTTGTGTGTGTGTGTTTTTGTGTGTGAGAGAGAGAGAGAGAGAGAGAGAGAGAGAGAGAGAGAGAGAGAGAGAGAGAGAGAGAGAGGGGGGGGGAGGGAAAAGGGGGAGTGCTAGGAGAAGTCGCCGGGTCGCGGGGGGATCTAAAAGTGAAGCACGTGGATGTGCAACGTGGCGTGTGTGTTGTTTTTGTTTTCTTTTCGTCTCTGCTTTTGTTCGCAAAAAAGGCACCGGCGGCATGTGTGTGTGTGTGTGTGTGAGAGAGAGAGAGAGAGAGAGAGAGAGAGAGAGAGAGACATTTGCAATATTGGACAACACGTGCGAGGCTTTACTTTCACAGAATACACGTCCTGTCCATGGCATGCGACTCGCAAAGTCGTGATTACCCTTCTACCTCTCTGCTCACGTAATCCTTACAGCCATTATCCACAGTATATACACCTTCGGTCCGAATACTTCCCTATCTGACTTCCCCAGTCTCTGCAGGCTCCTCTCATCATCGTCGCTCCTGCATTCTGTTGTTGTGGAAACATCCTTGGAAATTTTGAGTCTTGATATCCGCTGAATAATCCGCCCCCGATGAGTATTTCGAGTATTGGATTTCGGTTATTCCGTGCTCCTATCTTGCTTTGCCGTCCTATTTCCATCTGGTCACCAAATCCTTGGACAATTCATCTTCCAAAAGGTTATGCGTTGATATATCTACTGGAGTATTCATGTGAGTTGTCCGGTTTCCTCATTCTGACCTTTGTTCTCGTGAAATTTGTCTTTTGGTTTTCCGTTCTTTTTCTTTAGTATCCAGCGTTCGTGATATGTGCAATCAGACTCGTTCCATTCACACTTTTCATGCACGTGAACAGCAGCACAGCAAACTGGCGACATGCGCCCACACAGTACTCAGAGATATGGCTTCCAGGTAAGAGTTCACTTCCACTGGCTATGGCGACTCAGTGCCCAACAACCCACTGTTCACACACACTGGATCACCCTGGATATCCCACACGCATCACTCTGAACACCTACACAACACACACACACACTGCACCCTAAGCTACAGCTATGGCAGCGCTGGCTGCCTCTACCCTATTGCTATGGCTACACTTCCTCACTCTCGCCCACTTCAACTTCGGGCCTGCTGCAGACCTCCTTGCACAAGATGCTGAGACAGCGCTTCCACATGGCTTCCGCAGCAATGAATGGATGGCTGTGCGCGGCTTCTTGATTTATACTTCTGTGACTGGTTGGTATGCCCTGTTACCCTGGCCCACGGTGTACACAGTCCCAGACGGTACTTGCTTGACTGGACCGGACTGACTGGACTGGGACTGCTGACTCTGCACGGTGGCCTTCCACCACTTGCCCACTTGCCTCGACCTACAGTGGGCTGACTTCCGAAAGGCCGCTTCTGGAAGCATCTACTTGGCCTTTTGCTGCTGTAGCAGCTTCGACTCTGCCCTTTCAGGTAAGTAGCAGCTACGACTTTGACCCTTCGGAAAGTCTACAGCTAAGACCTCTGGACTGTCTAGACTCCTACCCGACAGGTCTACAGTTCGAATCCCCTCTACCCTGTAACCGACGATGTCCTACCTACCACTGGTGGTCCTACAGGTCGCAGGTTCAACTCTACGGGTTGACACAGGTACTGTACACAGGTAAGGTGGGGATCTAGGGATCGAGCCTGGGATC